TAAGATGAAATAATCACATTTCTCCCCAGAATTAGAGCATTTCAGTTAGAGCATTTTTCATTGCAGCAACAGAAGGAAACCAGAACACTGACCAGCAGTATTTTCTTGTCTCACTTATCCTCTTGATGCCTCAGTTTCCTCATCTCCCAAACATACCCAGAAATACTTGATCCTTGTGACCTGAGTGAAGATTAAATGTACATACAGGACCACCTGAGCTGGTTCTTAACAGATGTTTCCTTCCTCATACTTTCTCTCTTAACACAAAAAAGAAATTTGCAAAACTTAACAACTTCAGAAAGCAAATAGCTATTTAGATTTTCAAGTTGAAATCCTTTTTTCCTTATAAAGAGTTAATTAGGCATGAAATTAAATATTTATGATTTCACAGAGCCAATGTATTCATAATATTGGAATACGGAAGTGTCTAGTCTAGACATTCAAAACTTTCTTTATGTTTTTACAGCCAGTATTTCTCTGCTGGGAACATTTTGAAATTATAGTTTACAACTATCTAAGGGAAAGAGTGCTCCTCAAGGTCAATTTGGAGAATCACATGTGGTCGAATATTTTCAGGTGTAGATGCTGACTGCTGTGTGAGGGATTTGCGTGAGAGCCTTGATATTCTGAGCATTTCTTCCTTATTTTGAGATCTTTAGGTGCTGCTCATCTTCCCACTGGGAAGGCCAACTCCCTGTTTGCTTGGAACTTGGGAGTGTCCCAGGATGCAGGATTTTGATGCTAAACTTCAGATGGTCTGAGGAAAAACAGAATGGTTGGTCACCCCCATTCATACTCCAGTCCCCTAGAACTGACCTGCCGGTCCCAGCCACAACTGCTGGGGCCATCTGCAGAGTGCCAGTTTCTTGCTGCACTCCTGGGAGGCATACCTGAGATTTGCTGGTCACCAGGGACGCCGCCTGGGAAGCAGCTTCTGAAGTCTACATGGGAAAGAGAAGAGAAAGGTCTCGTCTGTCACTGTTTACCACCTATGCCCTGGGTGGCATACCTTATCATAATAGCAAACATTTCAAAAGCGGGATATGGACCAGTGAGATGGCGTAGCAAGTAAAGGCCAAAGGCACCCAAAGGCACTCGCTGCCAAGCTCATTTACGTGAGCTCAATCCTGGAACTCACATTGTAGAAGAGAACAAACTCCTCCAAGTTGCCCTCTGAATTCCAATATGTGGCTTACACACACACACACACACACACACACACACACACACACACACACCCCTTTAGCTTTAAGTACTTACTCTTCTTTGTTGCCCCAAACAAGGCCCTCATTTCTGGGAGGTCGGTGGTACTAACAGCAACAAGAGGGGTTCGGATACCATTCTCTCCTTCCCATGGCATCCTCTCATCCCACTTCATCCGCTCAGACAGTAGGAGCTCATCCAGAGATGAATGGCCAACCTCATCTTCCCAAGCTGTGAGCTCAGAGTTCTGCCTATGACTTTCCCAGGCACCTGCAAAGCTCATTTCTAGAAACTAGTGTATGATCACTATTACACTTAATGATCATGGCATTCTGCATATTAAAGATTAACATGAACAGCTGCCAGCCACCAAATCCAATCTGCATGATGCTCCCCACTCCTCACATCCACAGCCTCTTGCTTTATGCTTCTACTTCAACAACTGCTATGGTCTGGCCTAAGCATGGTCATGACACTTAAGCGCCCTTCATAAACTGATGGGAATCTGAGTGCAGGGGACCATTCCCTTACATGTGAATCACTCCTAGAACCTGTGAAACTACTGCCCACAGAGAATATTCAATGGCTGTCTCCAAAATCCATAACATCCTCGGGACTCGAGAAACGCAGAGTTCAGAGAGTCCCATTTTAACCTGGTCGATATTCCGCTCCGGCGGTGAGAAGACTCCATGGTCTATGTTCTCCTGGCGTTGTTCACTCTTGCATTAAATTACATAGACCAGCTCATTTAGCAGGTAGTTCTGGTTTGAGAAGACTTGGCAGTGATAGAAAGGATTTGTGTATTAGAATAAATAAAAATCCAATTATCCCAGGCAACCTTTAATTGAAAAATCATTTGAGTGATGCTCTCCTCTCACAGAGAGCCTTTGTGGGCTGTTCAGCCAAGCCTGGCATGTGTTCTGGCCTCACTGTGAACATTCCCAGGCTTCATGGTTGATTCCCAGGCTGCAGTAGCCCTCACTGAGCATGTACTGTGTCAGGGAATAAGATGAGTACCTGAACACACAGAGTCCTGTACCCCAAATGCACAGCATTTCAGCTTTACAGCACGAGAATGAGCTTAACCTAATAGCTATTACCCAACGCAATGAAAGATGAGCCAGGATGACACATAGGATTAATTATAAGTTATTCCACTTTAATTTTTAAAAGAAAAGGTTTCTCTGTGATGGCTCACTGTGCTAATTGCTCTAATAAGCAGGAGAAAAGGCATAATTTTAGTTGTGACAATATCATAATCCTTTTGCCCAGAACCGTGATAAAGGAATATACCCCTGAAATGCCTCACTCAAAGCATCATTTTCTTTTCTGATAATGGAAAGGGTATTTCTTAGTCGTGATGGCATTGTAGATAACTCAGAGGTCTCCTTGGAGGATCAGGGAATTCTTTCTATTGTGTACATGGGAATGAGAAACTATACATGCTTAATGTTTGTGCATCAGAACAAAAGAGGAGGCATAATTAGCTGCCATCACAGCTGCTTCTCTGACATCAGTGGCCCATACAGAAGTTATGCATGGCTGCAGCTTGGAGCAGGTACATCAATATCTTTATTTCATTGATGGAACACTGGCCCCAAACTAGGGCTGATTTCCTTTTTGTCTTTTTGTGTTTCTTTGTCCTGATCTAAGGCAGAGAGATAGAAGCTGGCAGACAGGAAGGCCTCTAAAACATTGCAAAAGAAATGGAGAGTCCCCGCCTTCCTGCATTAGGCAGTGGGACTAATCTTCCATTCATCCTCCGAATAAAATCAATTCTTGTTTACTAAGGATTGATCGCCCAAAACATCAAAGCACCATCTCCATCTCTACCCATCCCACTTCTATCGCTTTCTTCTAACTTACCCAGGGGATTTTTTTCCCCTCAGTCTCATGAGTTAGAACTCAGAAGTCCTGTGATTCTGAAAGTCAGAGGCTTTGTCAAGCCATCAGACCTGGATGGCAGAGGTTGGGGGTAGGGGTGGGAGTTGGTCTCTTTCTAATAAGATGTGGTGAAGCAGTTGTGAGACCAAGGGTTGGGTACCAGAGAAGTGTAGGCTATTTGATGTTTAGGTTTAGTGAGACAAGAAGTTAAAATGAAGTTTCTGGATTATCTTTCAATGGCTCATGCATATTTTTCCTATTTTATTTACCTTGTGTAAGCAAGAGTCTTTATATAGTGACAAATTCCCAGCATATCTGTGTTGCCAGATGTCTCTGAGTCAACTTTCTTTACGAAATACTAACTCCGGTAAACAAAATCTCCTAATGTAGTAAGTACCGGACACTCATGTTATATGATGGTAAATCGTGACTTAGTTGACTTTTTAAAGATAAAAACAAAAAAACAAAAACAAAAAACTTTCCTGTATATCAGTACTTAAAGGAACAAAGAAAATGAGTGGGAATGTTTCAGAAATTACAGAATAATTTTCATCAAGGGGACTTGTACATAGCACCACTGGCTTCACTGACTGAGGAAGTGGGGAAATTGCTTATGTACAGAAAATACTTGGTACTAGAATATTCCCAAAGTCATAACAGACAGACATGTGTCAAATATTCCAGTCAGTGAAGGACCAACGAGGCAGTGATCCCATAGGGACACTGGCTAATTTAATCTTTATAAGTGCTTCCTAAGATATTGGCAAAAATCACCTAAAGACCTTTGTTTTTTTTGTTTTTGTTTGTTTGTTTGGTTTGGTTTGTTTTTTTTTGTGGTTTTCTTTTTTTTTTTCTTTTGTCTTTGTCATTAAACATTTTTATTAGCTATTTGAAGGATTTTAAAGATTCACATATGATTTAAAGGGTAGAACAAAACAGTACTGTGTGATGAGGCTCATTTTCTTTGGTTCAGATTACATTTAAGAATTTAAGAATAGCTGTTGTCAGGGCTTGGCTCTCTCCAATGGGGTGGGCCTCAGGTTGGGCCAGGGATTGGTTGGACATTCCCTCCATCTCTGCTCTATCTATGTCCCTGCACATCTTGTAGGCAGGGTAAATTTTGGGTGGAAGTTTTTGTGGGTGGGATGGTGTTCCACCTCCCTCCTGTCTAGTTAGAGGGTGGCCTCTTTAGTCTCTATGACCCCCAGTGCTAGGATTCTCAGCTAGAGTCACCCCCATATCCTCCCTGGAGCCTACCCTGTTATAGGTCTCCAGCTTGTCTCAGAAATGCCCCCACCCACAGTTTCTCTTCTCTCTGCAGTCCGTCTGTCCTGCCCCCACTCTATCCACATCTGCTCCCCACCCCCCATTTTCCTCCGTACTCCCTCTCCTATCCTGCTATGCTTGCA